CCTCTCTGAATTTACTTCCTCCTCTTACGTCCATACAACCTTGTCGGAATTAGCTCCTCTTTAATTCCCTAATTGTTTACTAGGGGTCGTTCTCCCTACACTATAAGTACAGGGCGACTTCTTGCCTTGTTCTCTTTTCTACTTTGCATTTCAGCGGACACATCTACAATGTAAGCTCTCTTAGAAGATAGCGTCTCCCCACTTGTGGGAAGACGCCGTGAACATTAAACACACATACACGTACGTACGAACATTCACCAAAAAACAAACTCTTTATGTTCACACACAAACACAAATATTAATGTCTTTGTCACTTGTAAATTTGTTGTTTAATATACATATATTTTAAGTGCAACAATGCCTTGTGGTTATTCTTCTTGCGTAAGTCCTGTTTTCTTATCAAAGTTAAATTAATGTGGTGAAGTCCGCCACAACCTCATTCAGTAATACCCTACCTTGAGTGGCCCCTGCAAAAGGATATTTTGGGAGAGGAGGAAAAGCGAGAACGTCAAGTGACTTCTCCTGAGTATTATGAATGGTGCAAACGAAAAGAACACAAGACTTTTACTCCGGTGTAAAATTTGAAAAAAGTTTACATCTATTAAAAGATACTAGCACTGAATACTAAATTTACAAAACAAGCTTGTGCAAAATTTTCCTTTGGGTGCCAAACAATTAGGCAAGACAAGTTCTAATTAAAATTCTGTTGGGCTCATAAAAAAACTAATTATAATTATTATCAACAAAATGTTAATTACTAGGATTTATTCGACTGTCTAAAGTAGTTTAGAAAGTTGACGGTTCATAGTTTGTTTGTTTTTTATTTGTTTAGACATTTTACAAATTGAGATTAGATAAAACTTGTATTTTCTCCAAAAGTTCAAAATTAGGGTTAATATTTCTAATTTTGTGATAAACATTCACAAACAACTATAAAAGATAATCGAATATCTCTAAATTTATAAAAAAAACTTCTTCTTCTTTCTTTCTTTCTTTGTTGGTGGCTTTTAGTTTGTTTTTTCTTATCTAGATCCAAGAAGCAGCCGACGCTCATTCGCTTGTGAGAACAGAAACCCCTCTGCCTGTCTGACAAACCAGACTTCTTAAATAGCCACAAATCGGCACCGAATTAATTCAGAAATTTAATACTATGTAAACGCGCCAATACAAAGTATTGGCGCGTTTTCAAACCATAAGACTTGAGCCTTTTTTTTTTTTTTTTATCTTATATGAAAAACGAAATAATATCAAGCGCTGCAAATCACACCTGCGGAGTTTTGTGTCGAAAGTGAAGTAAACGTTTCTCCCCATTTTAGAGGGGAGAATTTGTACAGTCCCGGCAGTAAATGAGCTAGGGTCGATGTAGTATCTATGCCAGCGTGACAGTGGTCACGGAGACTGGACCAAAAATTTTGTCCTTGATTCATATGCATACGTATATGTACGAAGCTCCCCACGTTAAAACGACCTTGTGCCACATCATACCTTAGTGGGGAGGCCGGATAATATACCTGGCTTATATTGCAAGAAATATTTCCTTTTTTTTTAATAAATGTTCACTCAATACAAGGCCAAAGTATAAAAATTTGTTTAATAAAAAAAGAATTTGCTTCCCTGTACGTTTTCTCTAAATGCTTTAATGGTCATTGTTCAAGTGAGCTCTTCACTATGATATCTAGAGGTTTTGAATTTAAGCGCAATACGAAGTTGGCAACCTACATTGGTCAATTTTTTTTAATTCTTAATCATAAAAAAGGAAAACAATAAATTTTCCTTTTTATTTCAAACTTTTTCCAATCTGGAAATCAGTCATTGTTAGTGTTGCAAACCCGAACTGAATATTAGAATATCGGGTGTTCTAATAACTTGGACCGATTCTAAATATGAATTAAGTTTAAGCGTCTAATGAGTTTTTTTCTTTTTCCTTCAGATTTAACAACTTAAGTCTTTGGCAATTTCAACCATGGAAAGATTAACAAACAAACAACGTGTTAAAGTTATCGAAGTATATTACGAAGATGGACGTTCAAACAAATGCATTTCGCGCACTTCGATTTTTTTTTGGCCAACATAATCGATCAACCGAGAGTGCAATTGGGAAAATTGTTCGCAAATTCAAACAAATTGGGTCGGTGGCAGATGTGAAAACACCATTGCGTGCTCGTTTACGCAGTTAAGCTGAAAACATTGCTGCAGTGTACAAGAATATGGCCGAAAATCCAGACACCTCTATTCGTCATCGCGCGCAATAATCGAACTTCTCCACAACAACGTTACATCGTTTTTTGTGTTTTTTTGTTCATTAAGGATTTGTCTCTAAACGCTTACAAAATTCAATTGACACAAGAACTGAAACCTGTTGACTATTTGGAGCGCCGTACATTCGTCAATTGGGTGCACGAGCAAAGGCAAGCCGATGAAGATTTTTCGTAAAAAATTCTCTTTAGTGATGAATCCCATTTTCATCTTGGTAGATTCGTTAATAAGAGCTGTTCCAATAAACTGGACCGAGTTTTAAATGTGAATTAAGTTTAAGTGTCTAATGATTTTTTTCTTTTCTATTTTGGTCAACCAACCGACCAACCGAGAGTGCAATTGGAACAATTGTTCGTAAATTCGAACAAACTGTGTCGGTGGCAGATGTGAAAACACCATTGTGTGCTCCTTTACGCTGTTCAGCTGAAAACATTGCTGCAGTGCACGAGAAGGCGGCCGAAAATCCAGACACCTTTATTTCAACTGAACCTCTCCACAACAACGTTACATCGAATTTTGACAAAAGATTTGTCTCTACACGCTTACAACATTCAATTGACACAAGAACTGAAACCTGTTGACCATTTGGAGCGCCATACATTCGTCAATTGGGTATACGAGCAAAGACAAGTCGATGAAGATTTTTCGTAAAAAATTCTCTTTAGTGATGAAGCACATTTTCATCTTGGTGGGTTCATTAATAAGCAGAATTGTCGCATTTGGGCTGATGAAAATCCAAGGAAGATTGTTGAAAAGCCACTGCATTCACAAAAGGTCATTGTTTGGCGTGCATTTTTTGCTAGCGGAATCATTGGGCCGTATATTCATAAATTTGAACCTTCATTTTTGTAATAGGCTTCGATAACTTTTTAACACGTTGTTTGATTGTTAATTTTTCCATGGTTGAAACTGCCAAAAACTTAAGTTGTTAAATCTGAAATAAAAAGAAAAAATCATTAGATGCTTAAACTTAATTTACATTTAAAATCGGTCCAAGTTATTAGAACACCTTATATAATTAATAATACGCTTGAGTTCGATACTCACTGGGTGCTCCATATTTTCGACTTTGTGCCACGTGTAAGCTCCGCTTACTAAATTGCTATCGACATCAACCAGAGTAGTTTGAAATGAATATTAGCATACCGTCAGGCAGTACTACTCCTTTGAGAGGAGGCTGGAGTCATTACTCGACGCCTGAGGTGTCTCCAAAAAGGGGACGTGCCAATTAAGGGGACTTGATCAATTTTTGAACAACTTTCCACATTAAACCTCGACCTTGTGTCACATTCTGTTGTGAGTGGGCGCGCGGAAAAAATCCTTAAGCTTGTACCTATAGTGTATGTCACGCTTGGTATCACAGATACTGTGAGAGGGAAACAGAGAAACAAAAAGAGTGCGGTACAGAGAGAGATTGCAGAGGGGTCATCTTAGATAAAGGCAGTTGCTTGTGGCGAGGGGTTAAATAGTTTCGTGACCTTACAATCTGTTGAGGACATGTCATGTCAGTATTTGTAAGATATATACTCTGTCATTTGTCTTAACCTAGAAATTGTCTTGGTTGAAAAGTACAGAGTGCAACATTAATTTAAAAGATTTATTAAAAAAAAAAATCCATGTAATTTACACGGGTCCTGCTAATTCACATAAAATACATTCATTAGCATAAAACATTTCACTTGCAGACTTGAGTAAAGACCGCCCCTCCTACTCAATGTACTTCAGCAACGGGCCTGGTGTCAATTGAAGTTAAACTTATGATGAATAATTGTCTTTTTATTTACTTCACTCTATCAAGTTTCCTTTTGGAGATGTTTCAGTTTCATTAATTTTTTTAGTAGTAATAGAAAGTGATGCACACTCAGAGAGCATATGGTAATCTCACGTCCACTATAACGGAATGTGGCACAAGGCTATGTTTTAAAAAGTAGGAATCTCACACATAGATAAGGATAAGAAATTCGTCGACATTACGGTACCCAACCCTGACGCCAGTGATTATTAACCCAAACTCTTCCCCACTTTTAATAAAAATAAGAGAAATGCCGCCTGCGGGGGAACGACAGCCTCCTGGATTTGAGCACATTTACTTCTTTTTAAATCCGATTTAGGGGCTCGACAAGAGAGTGTTTTATTTTTTTATCATACATATTTCAGTGTGTAAGTAAGTGTGTACCTACTTAACTTTAGTAGATTAATAAAAAATCCTATATTTTCCAGCAGGTAGCCTTGTTTTAAAGGTGCGTGTGTCTTTTGTTACTTTGTATATGAATGTAGCTAGTCAGTATTGTTATGGATATGTGTAGCCAGTAAGAGGCGGTATACAAAATGAATTATATATCCATTATACAATTAGGTGGTGGTGGAGGAGGAGGGAAGAAAAGAATTAGCGAAGAATAGAGGAAGGGGGAGAGAAAAGCGAAAACGCTAAAAGAAAAACTCGGAGTAGGAGTGGAAAAGAAAACGGAAGTGATGCGGGTTATCTTCCCCTGTCCAGTCCATTAGCGAATACGTCAACTAGTAGACATTAAGTCACTTGCTTTTTTAAAAAAAAGGCTTTCTTCTTTCTCTCTCTGCTCCACTTTTGTCTAGTCTTTGATTTAACTAACCCTCCCCTGACGTTGTCAGTAAGTAAATCGGCCCGCGCTGTATATGTTATTTGTGACAAAGCGGAGGATAACCACCTGCGATCTCTTGGACATTTAAGAATTTCATTGTAAATTTGCCCTTGTTATTATTTGTGTATGGGCGCTGGCTCATCGCAGGACATGTCTGTGGTGGAGGTACCAGCCACGGCGAGACATTTGGCCACCGTAAGTATATACAGTAATTGACTTATTAAGCTAATTCTTATATATTAATAAATAGATAAATAAATGTTTCTGCTGTCTACATGTCAGGTAGGATTGGCTGAAAGGGAAGATCATTCTTTTTACAAAAAACAAAAAAAAAACTTTAAGGCATGATTTCTTTTTTACCATTTCATTGAAATTGAATTTCTCTTTATTTTTTAAGTCTTCTCTATCTTGTGACTAAAGAAATTAATCTTTATTTGAATATTTAAAAACAAAATTAATATTTAAGTATTTAGCATTTTTTTTTATTTAGACATAATATTGTTAATTAAGAATTTTCTTTGTCTTTCTGTCAGACAGACGTGTCTTTCAAATTTGGGAATTCTGTTATTTAATGACTTCATAAAAAAAATACTCTGCAGAATTTGAAATGATCACAGAAAATGTATTTATAACCCACCTTTTTTTTTAAGTTGTGTTAAAAGTAAAACTAATATTTACAAAAAAATAAATAAAAATATCTTTTTATTAATAATTTACTACTGCTTTAGTTTTTTTTAACCTACTGTTTTAGTTTTTGAAGAAATGAATGACTTAATCGACCCCAGTTTGTAATTAATTACAATCAACAAAGTCAAATTAGCAATTATTGTTAATTGTAACAATGAACACGACACGAAACTGACTATTTCTCCACGTTTCTCATTGACTTTTTTTTTTAAATTGACTGCTAAAATGACTTTAAAATGACATTTTAAAACGAATCTATAATACAATTTGTTTTAAAATGAATGCAGTCAGTTGAATCCTCAAACGATGTCTTATTTCAAATAAACCGTTTGCTTTTGCATGAGAAGTATAAGTATTTTACTGCTAGAATTTATTAATTTAATAATTCTACCATTGTTACACTTACAGTACAGTTACACCTTAATGTTGAAAAACTCATACTGACATCATTCGTTTGGTTAAAAAATGATCCCCAATTTTAAATGTTTCTAACTAAACGAAAACGACTTTCAACATTAGTCAATTTCTGTAAGGGATGCAGAAGCATTTTTTTTTTTTTTTAAATTAACAATGACAAAAATTGTGTTAATTTAAGTTTGTATATATTTTTTAATTCTATTTAATAAAAAAAAGTAAATTTAGATGTTACGGATTTCTTTTGAAACCGGTCTTTATTTTAAAATGAATTATCCAGAAATTAATGATTTTGTTGATGGAGATGAAGGTGCAAAATAGTAGCACTTCTTCACTGTATAGAGAGACCCATCACTAATTTAACTCTGTTTCGGGATAATTATGACAAATTTGGTCGGTAATAATAATACGATTTTTCTTGTTTCTTAATCTATCAACCGATTTACATGATTCTGTTCATTTTATTTCGTTTGGCGTTTTTCTTTAACCATTAATAATGAACACAAAAACCTTGAAAATACCTTTTTAAAAGAAAAAAAAATCAATTACCAATTGGAGATCTGGCTATCCGATCTTTTTTTTTAAATTTTTATTTCTTTTTTTTTTTTTTAACAAACATTTTAGCTTTAACCCAGACCAATTATTTAACTTTGACTTAACGGTGACCATAGTAAAAAAAAAAAAAAAATTATTAACTATAAATAAAATTTTCTAGTCAAGTTAATTTTTGATAAAAATAACATTTTTTTTTAATTTAAGTTAGGCAAAAAAACGGCCAACGATATCGTTTCTTTATGGTTCTGCCATACACCGGCGTTAACTTTTATTAATCAAAATAATTTTAAAATTATTTGTCATTTGTTTGTTAGTAATAAATACAAAAAAAACATTAAAGATCGCTTCTTTTTTTTTTTTTTTTTTTTTTAAAAAATAATAAAAAAAAAACCCTTAAAATGTTTGCAGTTGTGAATTATCACAATTATTAATTCAATATTTAATTTTTAATCTTTTAAAAAATTTAAGTCTTTAGTTTAAATTTTCATCTAAAAACCTTAGTTCAGTTCATTCTGCCAAAAAAAATGTAATTCAAATTTTAAAATCCTTATTAATTAATAAAGAAAGGATTTATTTATTTTTTTAAGTTTTCCTATTTAAATTGGATAAAAATCGGTAAAATTATTTTTAATAACTTTTTTTTAGCTTTGTAGACGAGTTTACAAACATTTCAATTGAAACAATAAAACCTTAATTATTAAATAAATTTTGAATTTGAGGGCGAATTTATCAAATTCGTTTGTAAATGTTGAAATTCTCTTGTATTGTAAAGAAATGTCTTACTTATAATTTTTATTTCTCCATAATTGCTAAACAATTTTTCTTAATTTTGTATAGTTCTGAAAACGTTTTTATTTTATTTTTAATAATGATTTATGCAGGAAAGAAGAAAATGCCCCTTTGGAAAAGGAAGGAAAACCTTGATTCTTTAAATATTTCTTTTATTTTAAATCAGTCTTGTATTGTGTAATGTAGTTTTAAGTTTTAGTTAAAAATATTTTTTAAAAATGACTTCCAAATTAAATATCAGGATTATAGATTTATTTCTAAGCCAAAAAATTCAACACTAAGCTTTACATGTTTGAAAATTTTCGTTTTTATTTTGAATGCTTTCTTTTTTCCTTTTTGTAATTTGAATTTTCAAAACATTTTTTTTTTTTTTTCAATTTACTAATTAAAATATCTTTTGTAAAAGACAATTTGAGCCTGAACTCCTGAAATTCTGTACTTCTTCAGATTGGTTTCTTTCTGGAGGGCTGACGCTTCTTATTCAACAGTAGTAAAAATAAAACTACTGTATCATCCTAAAATTATGCAGGAAATATGAAATACCTCCAGATTGTATATTTTGGCAGAGAAAATATATCGATGATGAATAGTTAGTATGGTTTATTTATCAGTCATATCCAATCAAGTTTAAATCGAAATTAGATTGAAATATGATCTTCTTATAAATGCTTTCTTTTCTTTTAATATTTTTAATCGCAGAGTACCACTGACCTCTTCTTAAGTGATGTGTGCTTCATGACCAATTATCTATCCATAACCTTTTTTTTTTTTTTTACTTACTTGTCTTTTCTTTTTCTCAATTCAAAAGAAGCATTTTATTTTTAAATAACGTTTTTTAAACAATTTCTCTTACTTTTTTAGTCAACTGATTTTAATTTTTCAAGATGAAAAATTAAAAAAAAAAAAATCTTGAAAGTGTTTCTGATACGAGTGAACCCACTGGCTTGTTGAATTATTGAAATGTTGCAACAGTTGTTCGCGCATGAAGGAATCACCTTTTTTTTTTTTAATTATGAAAATAATTAGAATTTTTTAAGAAAACAAATAAAATAGATTTTATTTTTATTCGTAAAAAAAATTGTATTGTTACGCGTTTATTCTCACTATTACTGAAAAACAAAAATGTAATTTAAATTGTGTAACTGTAGTTAGTGTTTTTTGTTTAATGGAAAGTGAATCTATACATGCCAAATGCATATGCACTTAATTTATTTTCTATTACTCAACAAAATTAATGTTATTGTTAATCATGTTTTTTTTTTTTTTTTTTTTTTTTTTGTAAGAATTGTATTATTTCTCTTCAGTCTTCATCTTCGTTCTCTTGTCCCCTTTTTATTTTCTGACATGCTGATTATTACTTTGACAACTCTTTTACTATTCTAAATCAATTTTGGATAGATAATTTTTTTTTTTTTTTTTTTTTTTTTTTACGCCATGACCCTTCAAGACATAGATGATCATATCTACGGATTGTTTTCTTTTTTTATCTGTGAATTGCCATGACTTCATGGGAAAGCTAGTGGAGTGATTTCCCGTTGCCTTCTCTATGGTTTGAAATTCAGTTTTTGATACCCCCCAAAAAAGCCTATAGAACCCAGTTCACTCTGCTATGGAAGATTGATTTATTCCGTTCCCCAAAAAGGGTATTCGTTTGGTTTTGTTATTTTATTACATGATGTTTACCCTGTACAAGACCCAAGAGCCACTCTAGATAGACGGTTACAGAGTAACAAGCACAGTTTATGGGGGTATAAAGAAGATAACAATTATTAACCCTAGACTTGAACAGGTTTATTGTAGTGGTTGAAGAATCATCCCTTTTGGGATTCAATTCCACAAAGTGTGTGAAAATGAATGTAATAAAATGAAATTTATGAGCTGAGTTTAAATTCTGGACTGTTGTTCCTCAAGGACACATGGCACAGTGGATAAAGGCGTTGGTTAGATCCAATGACAGGACCCAAAGAGTGAGTTCAATACTCGGTTAAGGCAGTGGAGAACTTGAAGAGGGGAATTAACAGGAGATAACTGATAACTGACATTCATTAAACATGGCATGTGGAACTAGAACAGTCTAACCCAGTGAGTGAAATAAAGGGTTCAGTTCGACATTCTAACCACCTGAAGAAGGCTGGAGATGAAGACAATAGTCCGAATAATGTAAATAGTGTATGTATATATATATATAATGTGTATGTGTAAAAAAAAAGAAAAAATTGGCAATAACCTTTACTCACTTTTTGTTTGTTAAAGATTACATTACATCACTTAGCATCCTCCATAGTTTACCTTGACTTTTTCAGTTAGCCTGAAGAATATTTGAGTGTTCTTGTATTTAAAAAAATTGAAAATGTTTTTACTTCTGTTTACAAATACATGAATATTGCAATATAAAACCCATCATTAGATGGGATGCATTGGTAAAGTTATCCTTTTGTCGTGTGTGTGTATATATATATATATATATATATATATATATATATATATATATATATATATATATACACAAAATATTTATATAATATATTTTTTAAAACAAGGAATGTATTGATTTTAATTTTAAAAATGTCCCTAAGGCCCTTTCAACCAACATCTCATCAGGAGACAATCGTTGGATCAACGAAAAGAATATTAACGACAATGAAGAGCAAAAAGAGGGGGGAAACACACTAAAAAAAATCAAACAAGTGTATATATTTGTAACGAGGGGAGGGGAAATAATCGTGTAAATAAATTAGTGAGGAACAGTT